CCCCCGCATTTGCTAAGAAAGAGAAATGTGATGTGGGGCAAGTATACCCAGCACTAGCTGCAGCTTCATTAAAAAGTTTGATGAGCACAAGAATGATTTCAAGACCAAAGTCCTGAAACCAATTTATAGAAATTAACATCCTCTAACATGACATGAATACACAAGCAGATTAAAGAATTAACCATTTGGTATACTAGTTCTCCACTCTTTTTCAGCCAGTCATCCAAACACATTGAAGAAGGTATACGGACACAACAAAAATCATTTGTAAATCAAATTTGTCTCCTCAACAAAGTATGGGTAACTTAATACAAAAATAAATAAATGCCTTGTCAGATTTGCCTCATTTCACAATACCACTGGGCATTCCTCAATCAGCAGGACAACCACAAGCAGGATTTCATAGGCTTCAATTCAACTTTTTACATGATTTAAAAACATTTAAATGTTACAAACATATTTAAATCACCACTTAAAAATATTCGGTTTATATTATTAAGATCTATTTTACCAAGTATGAAATAAGGACTTCATAACAACAGAAGCATGAAAAATCATTTTTGTTTCCTCCACCCACATACACTTGCAATTTCAGAAAAGGACATATTCATCTTTTATACTCCTTTATATTTAAGGAGGACAAATCTTCCAAGAAAAAACAGATAGTATGACTGCTACGATAGTGAGGACACAATACCTATTCCATTTAAATTCTGTTCCTTAGTAAGATGGAAGGAGAGGTTTGGGTCAAAGATTTTGGTGTGGGCCTGACTGCTAACAGAATGAATTTCTGTAGCAACTAAATTTTATTCAGTGATCCCTTGCTCAAACAACTTATTAGGCCTCCCTATTATATGTACTTGGTATCTCTTAATTTCCTGAATTAGAGTAGAATACATGCAGGTAGGATGTTTTACTGTAAGGTAGAATGAAATCCGTCTTCTAGAGTAAGAGACTGAAATGTGGGATTTTCTATTCTCTCTCATCTGCATCTCAGAAACAAACCAAGAAGAGTAGAGACTTGTTATATGAAGTAGGAGCTACTTTTACAGTCAAAGTCAGATTACAGTAGGAAGTTTGAGCTTTATAAAGTCACAAGCAAATTCCTTTTTTTCCTTCCTGATAAAGAGATGCAAGTAAATACCTCAGAATTTCTGCTGCTGTTATCTCTTGGATTAAAAAACATAAAATAAAATAAAGTAATCTAAAAGATAGCTTTTAGACTCATTGCTTTAAGAACTGAAATTATACTCTCAGAAAGAACACTCAGAAGAGTCTGAATACTATCTTTAGCAGGTAGGCAGTAAAAGAAAAACTGTCCGGCAGACAGAAGGAATTCTTATTAATTTTTCTTTAGTGATTTCTCTTTTAGTTAGCCATGACTGCTGATAGGTACCTGCTAGTTCCTTACATACATTCAGCTTCCCATACAGAAAAACTATCCAAGAAAGTCTCAGTAGCTAGACATAAATTTGAGAAATGCATCCATTTGAAACTTACCAAAGGGTCTGACCTAGACTTGTGTGGATGGGCAGAATAACAACCAAATTCTTCCCGTTTCAGCTGGGAAGTACCTGTCAGCCTATCAGGCAAGGAGTTCTGGACAAAGCCACTCTTGAAAAGGCAAATCATCAATGCTACAAGGCCACGGTAATTCAGCAAGGGAGGGAATTTCTGCACAGGAATCTTCGCTAATCCGTGATCTACTTCAATCCTTCTGTTTTTCTTTCTTTTTTTCCCCTGGGCTACCTTTGTATCAGCCTTCAGATTTCTGGGCAACCAGTCAACTGATCCCCTTGCTGCTTAATGAAGTAAAAATCATCATAATAAAAAGACAAAAATCAGCATGCACTAAGAACAGTGACCAGTTCTGGAAGGGGACATCTCCCACTTCTTCACCAAAACAAAAAAAAGGAACTGCAGCTCCCTGCACCTCAAACACACATATGCACACAGAGGAGGTCAAGAGACTCTATTTTAAGAAACTGCCAAACTCATCCTTGAACCATAATCTTGATTTAGGACTTCAGTGCACCATTCTCAAATCAATGCGTGCAGCCAAGTTTTCCATGCCAGATGCTACCTTTGGAAAAAAAGTAAATTTAAAAAAAAAAAAAAAATCAAGAGACTTCTGCCCACTGGAAAACCTTCTACCAGATGCTAACAGGATGGCAAGCACTGATCCGAACCCTAGGAAACAGTAACATGCATCAGTAATCTGAGGTATCTTCCCATTTCTAGGTCTTACTGCTAAGATCAATCACATCCAGTAACTGTGCTCTATCCTTTAGTAATTATTGGGGAACGGTGAACCTGCCTGCAATAAATGAGCACCGGTGCGTAACAAGCACATGTGAACGCTACAGCAAGTTTCACAGAGGGCTAACCCTGGTCAGTACTGAAGCAGGGGTTTTCCTCTCAACCCCCTCTTAAAAAAAAAAGGGAAGGGAGGACAGAAAAAATGAAGAAAAAGGAAAAAAGATAGAAAACACAGGTCCCCCATCTACCTGCACACAGCCAGGCAGACAAGCTCAGTTGGAGGTGGTGAAGGGCGCAGATGCATTATTGGTACTGGTAGCGGTGGCACCGGTCACTGCGAAGCCCGTGGGAGGAGCTATGGAGCTGTGGCTGGGCTGCAGGTCCTTGGGGATGCCACTGTGGGAGCTCAGCTGGTGCCCAAAGGCTGCGCTGAACTGAGGGAGCTGTTGTTTAGGGGAGGTGGAGGCCATGAGTTCAGCGGAGGCAGGACCCATGCCACTAAAACTGGTCTGCGGTAACCCCGGAAGCACACTGGAGCTGTTGGGGGTCACAGTGGCGAAGGCAGGCTGTGTGGTCTCTGAGTGCGAGGTGGTAGGTGGTGTGGACAGGGAGGTGGACAGGAGGTGTCCATCTGCACCAAGAAGGTTGCTAAATGGAGAGGGGTCCCCAAGATTGACAGGAAGATTTCCCCAGTGAGTTCTGGGGTTGACCACCCCACTAAGTGGCACATCCAGCTGAGTTGGGAGCAAGTGCTGTGCCATCATGGGCATCTCTGCTGAGAAGGTAGCTGCCAAGTTATCACCAGAAAAGGATGTGGTGTGAGGGGATGTGATATGGTCACTGTAGGGAGACGGCACATGCTCACTATCATAATGGCTTCCATGGGGTGAGGAGTGTGAATGGTCACTGCTGTATTGCTGTCGTGAGGTGATCAGGTCATCTGCCTTGCTCAGCAGCTGGGCAGGGTGGGGCCTCTGGGAGGCATGGCTGCCATCATGAAGTCCATGAAACTGTCCTGGGAAGGCTCTCTCCCCAAGGCCACTCTGGCTTATCAGAGTGGCAGAAGTAAGGCCGACGTTGGCTGGGGCTGAGAATTGCCCCTGGATCTGCCCTGCCAGGGGCGTAGGTGGGTTGGACAAGGTAGCAGAACGGAGCAAGTTCTCATCCAGCTCCAGACTGGAGAAATTATCATGTACTATACGCCCATTCAACAGCTCCCCCAGATCCGTGTTAACCTCTCGACTCAAGGACTGCATTCCTGGAGCTCCAGCACCTGTAGAGAACACCCCTATCCCTCTATCTGACAGCTCCTGAACTGGCACACCATCTGTCTGTGTAAGTACTCCAATGGTACTCAGGCACTCAAGAGAAGTTACAGCCTGCAGGGCCCGTTCCAGTTCTTCAGCCTCTTCTGTAGTTGGAAGGAGATCTCCATTTTTACCTGCAGAAACAGGGACACCAGAAGTTAGCATGCTCCCCTCAGGTAAGCCTGGCACTGGCACTCTAAGGATGCAGATGTACAGACAGTTCAGTACAGAGCTGCAGTGTATGACAGCCTTCCAGAGCTGCTTGCGGTACACAGAAAATGTCATCACCAGTGTTCACCAGGTAACCAAAAATGAGAAAAAAAAGAAATTACACCTTCCTCTTCAATGGAAGTCCCTCTCTCCACCCTCCTCTTTCACATACTACAATACAAGATGCCTCCTAAACTTACCAGACCTAAAGCAAAAATGCTTAAATAAGATTTTCTTCAACGCTGCAATAACACAAATAGTCCACAAACTCTCTTCTATTCATGACATTACAGACCTCAAATTTACACAGTCAGTATAACTTAGGTTAATTTCAACTCAAACAGCCTGATGTCACGTCATATCGGAAAATTACCAAAGAAATTACACACCCTGACTCTGGGCTGTTCTAATTTCTTTGTTATATGTGATAGGTACTGAGCTTTAGAACCCAGAAATTCAGGCACAGTTCTGATCAAAAGCCAGTTTCAAAAATGTATTTAAAGATTTTATTCTCACACTCATCTCCTTTTATCAAAGGCCAACATTGACTGTGATTCCAGCCCCACTCGATGGCAGAAAGATGCCATTACTGAGAATACTCTTGAATTAACTGCAACACTGACAAGCAGTAAAAATGTAAAATTAATTATTAAAATACTAAACCAATTAGGATTTTCAGAGCAGTAATTATAAAAGCAAGCAGAGAACTACACACATGAGCCTTCTCGAAGTCTGCTTTCCTTCAGAGCTCACAAACAAACAATAGAGCAAAAGCACACTTCCTTTTCTAGAATTTAATACCTCTGTAGGAAAGCATGCAACCCTTCAAAATGCATTTTAGAAACACTCACTTCTTCAGTTCACTGACTGCATTCACGTTAGGGGGAAAGGGGAAAGGGGAAAGGGGAAAGGG